TTACTTGCAAAATTTGGAATGGCTAGTGATTCTAAGATGAAAGTTCCAATTTCGATCGGAACAAATTTGTATCCTTCTCTTGAAAAACATGTTGCATACTGACTTTATACAAACAGATGATTAGGTCTATATTGTATCTTACATCAAGCATGCATGATATCATGTTCGCAGTTTTCTATTGTACTCATTATCAAGCAAATCCACAAGAGCCTCAGATGATCTCTTTGGAAAACATATTTTGTTATTTTAAGTGAACCATATCTCTTGGTTTGTGGTATCCAACTAATTCAAGATTCTTTTTGTAGGCATATTCTGATGAAAATTTAGGTGGATGTGGACTTGATCGCAAAAGTACTATAGGTGGATGTCAATTCTTGGACAAGAAACTCGTAATTTAGCAATCAAAGAAACATGTGTGTGTCTCTCTATAGATTGCAGAAGTTGAATATATTGCAGCTGCTTCATGCACCTCGCAAATTATTTGGATTCAAATCCAACTTTGAGACTATCGAATAAATATGAAGAAAATATTGTTGTATTATGTTTCATAAAATGCAATAAGGATATGTAAAAATCCATTAGAACATTCTAAAACAAAGCATATTGCGTTATGGTGTCATTTTATTAAAGATTATGTTGAAGATGACATGTTGAAGTCCATTTTGTTTATTCAACATACCAATTGGTAGATATATTTACTAAAGCATTTCCTGAAACAACGTTTAATCACATATTGCATAGACTTGGTATGATTTAAGCTGAATCAGTTCTGAAATCTTCTTGGAAACTAATGAATTGTGAAAGGGTGTTGTTCATCACCGAACGGTTCTAAACTTCGGAGGTCATCTCAAGTCACAAATAGGCGTGAGACATTCACTGTTCACATGCGAACTGTTTCGAGATTCCCAGACAATCAAAAGATATAATGTTTTGTCAAATGGCTACCCCTTGTTTGTGAGAGGGTGTGAGATTTGTAGGTGGGTGCACAACGTACTTGTTTGTTTCAATTCTTAATTTCTTCTCATTACTATTCATCCGCGATGTGTTCCGAGCTTCGAAGCTCATCGTTGATTGCTCTTTTATAAAAATTTTCAAAAAATCCAAAAAGATTTTCTCTTTTATAAACATTTTCAAAAAAAAAGATTTTCTCTTTTATAAAAATGTTCAAAAATCGAAAAAAAATCATTTTTAAAAAAATTTAAAAAAAAAATTCACTTTCATAGAATTTTTCAAAATTTAGAAAATATTGTCTTTTTAGCTTAATTTTTTTAACACTTGCTGTTATTGCGTGCCACATTGGAATTCTATGGGATCAGGCAATTTCTTTTATGAACTTTAACTAGCTAAGTGTCTATAGAAGTATGTTGCAGCATGTTGTCTGAAGCCTCACTTATTCTTAGGTTTTGAAGCCTTAATAAAATTCTTATTCAAAGAATTTCTTTCTAGAATAGGCTATATTACCAATAATCACCGAGCGACCTTTCCCAACTCATTTCAGAATTTGGAGATGTCTGGTGGGTCATTCATTTCACAAAGGTGTAAAGTTTCTTTTAGCCAATCTTGAAAATCGATGACGTCTTAAATACACACAAACTCAAACATAGGGTTCTTTTTCTAAACCTCAAGGATTTGACGGATTTCTTAACAATAATTTTTAATTAACCCTTGATCTTCCAAGACTGTACCAACTCAGAGTTATGGTTTCTCAAAATTTGTTTTTATGATCATTCTTATTATCACCATGAGAGTGTGAGAAACTCGTTTCCATCTTCTTATCTCATATTTCTTACATTAATAACACACTATGATGAATATCCCAAGACATCTCTAGTATTAAAACTACTACGATTTAGGTGTGCCAAAAAATTTTGTTTATGATCTTTTCATAATTATCACCATGATGGACAGTGAGACCAACAAAATAATACCATAAAGGATTTAACGGTGAATTCGTCTACGAATTCTAGATTTTAACTTCTAAATTGATAGATGAAATGAACTATGTTTCAATGTACCATCATCACCCCATCTATTTCTTTTGGACATATCAATATCACATTTCACATAGCACCCCTAGGTTTTAGATAAAACCAATTCAGAACATATGGTGTTATTAAACTCTATGCGATGATCGCCTACTATTACCGTAGGATAACGTGATGCAGCAAGAACCTTTCATATTTAAAAAATCTATTTTCTCTATCACTTTTACACACTTCACTTGGAATCCTTAAGGTCTCAGGTCAAACCAACCAAAACCACGATTTCACTAAGTGTAGTTAGTGATTCTAGTCATTCTTCTTTTGACTAGATGAAACTATTCTTAACTTTGGTTACTATTCTGAAAGTTCTATTATGAATTCAATCATGTTCTTAATTCGAATGGATACGATTTTAGTTCTTGCAAATTGGAGGGTGGATCAGTGATTACGAAACAGCTGCAAAACGAAATGGAATGTTTTCTTTTGTGAAAAGTTCATTCAAATTCAAAATTGGTGCGATTTTTCAAAAGTGGTTTTGTTACAATTCCGGTGAGTTGTCAAGCGGTTATTGGACCTTATTTTTCTGGGATGATTGGTGTGGGAATTTTTTATGACATCTGAAGTGACTTACCTTAATTTTGATAGTGTTATCTCTCACCACTTATGATTAACGATTCAGATTCAAAATTAAAACCGTTTGAGATTCTAAAGCCCTATTTAATCTCATCATCATCTATCATTAAACATTTACGCTTCCATAATTTTCAAAAGCATTTGAAGAAGTTCTTTGATATTTGAAGATTTTCAGTGGTGATTCTTCTATTCTTCAAATGGCTTCCTCTGAACATGTTTTTTATGGATCAATCAACAAAATCAATCATCTTGAGCATCAAGTTGCATGAAAACATGGTTTCTGATCTTCAAGCTTCAAAGTACTCAAAATTGATTCAACCTCTTATTGTACGTCTCAAATTTTCACAATTAAAGAAGGCTTTGACATTATATGAAGATGTTACTGTTTCTTCTCTATCTATGGCCTATTCGACAACAATTTACAATAAATCTCTTGAGATTATGAACATTGAAATTCCAGGCACAAAACTTCTATTTCAAAAGCTAATTTCTGCAAGCTTCTAGGGCTTTCTCCAGTTGATGGTGCAGTGAATCCTGATGGGGTACAATTCTGATATTTATGTTCTTTCAAAGTTTAGAAAGTCTTCTTTACCTCCAATCTGGAATGCTCTTTTCTCCATCTTATTCAAATTCTTTTTCTAAGAGAGTAACTGGTTCTGATATTACCAGTAGGATGTTTCATACTTTGCTCTATAGCTTGTTCACTAGTGACAATGTTGATTTGGGGAAAGTATTGTGGGTTCAGTTTGTTCAAATTCATAATTCTTAACAAAAGAATTATGAAATTTCTAGTGCTCACTATTGGTCAATAGTGGTTACGCATGCCTTAAATCACTACCGAGTTCCTGTCATGATTTATGTAGTTATCGCTGATATTCCCAAAATGCATACAAATATCTTTGTTACTACTAATCCCAAGATCTTTACATTTATTGGATCAATTCTAGAGGTAATGCTTTCTCGGGTTTCTTCAGACAATGCTATCATTCGGAAGTATAAGAAGATTCCAGTTTCTAGTGAAAGATTGATTCCAGATGATTTGAAAACTATTTCCTATGCTGGGGATATTCCAAAAAGAATAAGTGTTAAAAGAAAATGAAAAGAAACTATTGTTGTTCATGGATCTCCTAAAAACTTCAAGAAATAACATAAAACGAAATTTATGAAATCTTAGCAACCTCTTGTGCATGAGGATTTAGAGGAAATAACTCAAAATGATGTTCAAGGTGCTAGCTTTCACAATGAAGAAGATACATCAGATAATTCGCAACTTCATAAGGTTGTTTCGGAGCCTAATTCTATTATAGCTCCGCCTCTTGTCTGAACTCCACCTTCTTCTCAAGTTGTTCCACCAATTCAACCTCCAACTCTGACTGAACATGAAATTTTTTAGAATGTTCTCAAGAATCCAATTCTAAATCTTTCGAAAACCCTACGAGCAACAATAGTTCCAATTTCTAATCCTAACATTCATGTTCAATCCATTTCGATTCTCCCATTCCAAATTCCGATCCTATTTCTACTTCTACCCCATCAAAAAATGTTGCTCATGATCAACCAACTTCATGTATTCAAGCAACTGCTCCATCACCATCTGGGCATACAAATTCTTCTTCAAGTTTAGAAACTAAATTTATGCTTTTCAATAATCTGAATTTTGGTATTATTAGATCATTTGAAGATTTATGCCACCACATGTTGATTTTTTTGAAGAAGAGGGTACAAATGATGTTGATTCATTAGTTCCGATCACTTGAAAGGAATATCATGTTCTTAATAAGAAGCTTTATAGTTTAACTATTCACATTGAGACTCTTTCAACCACCAATTTTGAAAATGTGGTTTCATCTCATAAAGCTCTTATGAAAATTCTTACCTCACCGAATGCAAAGACATTTGAAGATCTGAAAAACCTGGTCAAATAAACATACAAGGAGATTGATTATGTTTTTGTTAAAGTGAAAGATGTTTTTCAGAATGTGAAAATAATCTTAACGATTTTCAAGAAAATTCAGAGGCTAGGTTTACTTTCGTTGAAAATGAACTCAAAGGATTTTGTGATTTTCTTACCTTGGAAAAAGAATCTCTGTCTGGTATTCATTTTGGTATTCAAAAGGATAATGTTGATCATCACACTTCGGTGTTGAATTCTGTTCTTACCTTGAACATTCATTTACATGGTGAAAACAAAGTGATGGATGCTCTTTCTAAAGTGACACAAAAGAAGAAAATTCTTAAAGAAAAACAGGATGTAGCTACGAGTTTGAATGCTCAATGAATTAAGAGCTTATTTTGGTGAAGATTCGTAATTTTGCAATAAATCGGTGAACGGTGAAGATCAATGAAAACAAAGATGCACAATATGTTGATTATATTTTGCAACTTATGGATGCAAAACTCAGTTATTCAATTCCACAAATCAACAACATTATGGATGCAAAAACTAATTTGATCCTTAATAAAATCAATCAGCATGCCAATGTGACGAGTAGCGGGGCTACTTCGCAACAAGGAGGAGATGGAGCTGAGAAGGAGCCTGAGCACTTAAACACTGGTGGAGGATTAGAAAATGTTGAGAATCCTATTAATAACAAAATTCCCATTCTGAAATTTGTTATCATAAATCCTTATCATACCAAGAACGTGGGAAAGGTTAATGCGACAAAAGTTCATCTTGAAAAACAATCTTTGGAAGAGAAGTTGAAAGACTTAAAGGAGAAATCGTTTATTGATCAGAAGATTAATGTATCTTATGGATCAGGAAAAGGAAAAGTGACAGTTATTTCTTAAGAAGATTTAAATCTAAATTTAACTGAAGAAGAAAAAAAAGCACAAGTTGCAAGAGATAAGGAGCTAGATGAATTGAAGGAAATATTAGACGAGCTTGATTGGAAAGAAGCTTAGAAAAAGACTGCTGATGAGATTGATACAACGAAGAAGGCTTTGTTTCCAAAATGGACTGCTTCTAGAATGGGGAAAGAATCTATTAAGAAAGTTGAATACTTATGGTTAGAACCAGTTACTTCATTTTCAGTTGAAAATATTCAAGAATATAAAATGGACTTCCCAGTGACACCTAAGGCTTTTATATTCCGAAGTCTTGATAAAGCAGTTGATGAGCCAATGAGTAATCAAGAAATGAACAAGAAACTTTTCAATTTTTATGTGAAGCAATCTAAGCCTCAATATGAGACTTGGAGTTTAAATATGTTAGTTAGTTTGAAAGTGGGAAAGCCTTTTGATGCTGAAGGTTTCATAAATGTTCATTTCAAAGGATATAGAGGAGTGAAGCATGGGCCTTTTGATTTTACACTCGTAGATTTGCCTATGATGAATCTATATGATTAGATTATTCTCCTTGCACTACTAGAAAAACAGCCTTTTACGACACGCAATGCGTGTCGTAAAACGCTCAGACGACATGCAAATGCGTGTCAAGAAAGGCCATGTCATAACGAGAGACGACACGCTTTTGCGCGTCGTCTATAGATGATGCGCATTTACGACGCGCATTTATGACACGCAATGCGTATCATTAAAACCCCTTTCAAGAAAGGCCATGTCATAAACGAAGATGTCACACATTTTTGCGTATCGTAAATTTAAATGTTTAAAAAAAATATTTATATTTCTTAATTTTTAAATTAAATTTGCATTTAATGTCTCATAATAGAAATAAAATACCATATAGAAAAAATACAATCCATTACATAATATAAAATAAAATTTCATACTCAAAAAATAAAATAAATTGCACAAATTATAATATGTCATACAAAGAATCATTCAAATGTTAAACAAAAATAATACATTGCTAACATGGGTTATACATTCCTATAAAACTAACAAATAATCATCCAACTCTGTTTCTTACTGGAATATGTGTATAATTGTCTCCTTCATCAGCCTCCATGTCCAAAGTCGGATCTACCTTCCTAATTTGTATGTATAACAAAGACACATGTGTTAAAATTGTTACCATTAACATCTGATCGTATGGACTAGAGTGTTAAACTTGTTACCATTTACATCTGATTCATATGGTCCACAGAAAGCCATGTGTTCTTCACCTCTAATTCAACAAGATTGTTACCTACATAAATGAAAACAAATAGGAACATTAACAGCCCAATTATGAACAATTTCACAGGATGCCATATCATGTATTACCAAAAATGATGATCATTAATAAGTCCTTTCAAGGATAATTTGGTCTGGATAGAAGATTAAACTAAATACAAATCATAAAGATCCTAAAAAACAGTCGACTGCATTAGAATTGATGGCTTATTAGAAGAATAAGATAGAAATGAAATAATAAGAGTTATAAATAACCATTGTGTATGAGGTACAGATGGAATCTTTAGCTGTACAGTCTATTTCTTGAAAGATCATAAGTACTTCAGCCAAAAATTCACAATAATCAAGTAGAAAACGACTACAGTTTGCCAACTTAGTGAGGCCAAAAATTCACAAATAACTAGCAAGCAACTATAATTTAACAAGTAACAGCAGGTGATATTAAGAACCATAGAAAGGTACAGAATTTCCTTTATTGAGATCAGATCTGTAACGGATCTTATCCTTTCACATCACTAAAAGGACGACTTTTCAATATAGCAACAACTTCACAAAAGTAAATGAAAAAATAAATCCAGCATATAACAAACTTACAGTAAGCAGAAACCAGATACAAAACATTGGGGTAATACACCTGATCAACCAACAGACCATTGTGCTGCCTCACTTTGTCAACCACTTCCTGAGCTGCAGCCTTCCTCAAATTTCTCTTGATAATAAAGAACAAGATGTTAACAGATAGCATATTCGATGTAACTTGAGCAGTACATGAAATAGGAACCAAACACAGACCTCTACTCTTAGTATCTAGCTTTGTATCTCCTTTATCAAAGACTTAGAATTTAATTCAAATTTTCAATTAATTTTTCAGCCTAATTATAATAAATACAACAAAATTTGTTCTAAACTTTAATTGGTTGGTGAATTTTAAAAAGTATCAAAGAGAAAGACATGGAAAAAAATATTATATGCACAAAATCTCAATCAAATTCCACTAACAAAGCAAATCAACTTACCAGAAGAAAAATTCTTGATGAAGACAAAAATTGCCTCTTGATTAGCACAATAACCACCATATTGCTGAGTGACTTCACAGCTTGATACCTTAGTTCATCAAGCAACAAACCTAAGTTCCTACTTGCTTCAAATGATAAATCACTAACATTAAGTATGGGATCCCCTCTATGAAGCCATGTTGTGTTAAATTCATCCGGCATCTCTACAGCACACTCCTTTGTAACTGCAGCATTCAACCTCACTGTAATAAAAGGACAAATCGGTCATTTTTTTTGCTTTTTCCATACTAAATAGTATAAAAAAATATTTAAAGCTCATCATGACCTTGTGGTTGTTCCATTTTCACTGCTTCTAATTTATCTTGTAGTTCCTGAAACATTCCATACAATCTTTCTCAGCTTATTCTTTTACAATAAGAAGTGTATTTTCGTCTTTTTAACAGCAAAATGGTGAAAACATGTATACCTTGAGTCTTCCTTCTTGACAAAGGGCTGGAGTAGTTAATAATGCAGAGTATCTGCAATTAAAATTTTTATTCACAATTCACAATAAAAATAAATAATTTATCTTTTTTTTTTTGGGGGGGGGGGGGGGGGGGGTCTTACTCGCAACGGCTAGGTTCATCTATATTAGCAACTTCAACTTTTGATCCACATCTTAATCTCACCTGTAAAATGTTGAGTAAATATCATATAGTTGTCATTGGTCAGACCTGTTTCAAGAGAGCAACATCATGTTATTTTAAATAGATGGTCATTTAAATTGCTAAAATTTGATATTTTTATGAAATAAAGTTCTCGTTGTGGTCATTATGGTAATTAATGCTTTTGTTCTGGTGTATTAAAACTATATAATGTCAAAGGCTGCAAACTTGTTTTATATATGATGTTATGTATAGTAATGGACCTAATGGTCAAGATGAGTATCTAGACATATTTATAAAAAAAAAAAGATTATACAAATAAATGTGTCACTGTGTGAGTGGCATTATTTTATGGATCTTAAAATATAAAGTTAGTCATATTGGTTAGAAATCAGGAAACAGGAAAACAAATTGTTGCAATTTCCTTTTATATGGATTATTTAAGAAGAGTCTACAAACGTATGACATCCTGGGAATGCAATTGAATAATCTCACCTATATTCAAAGTTCTAACAAAAATGGTATGGATCGTTTGGTAAATATAAATAAAAATATGAAGTAATGGATTTTTCATTAACAACCAAAAGAGGTGCTCCTCATATGCCTATGCTTCATTTTATTTGTTCAATTAAATTAATTAAGTCATAGAAAGGAACTTATATGTGTAGAACTTCACAGGTCATTAGATCAAACAGACGTAATTATCAAGAACAATGAGGACACTCTGCCTTCTGCTTTTTATAATGTAGCATAGAACCATCATGAATGAATGATTACCTATTGGGCAGACCTTCTAAAGATCTCCAGTGGATTTTTTGATTTGGGATTGGCTGCAAGATTCAACACCGTGATGTGAGAATTGCGAAAGAGTAATTGAGAAAACGTTAATAATAACCGAATCGGCTGCCCAACACAATCAAATACAATGTCACCACAAGTTGTACAGACAAGGACAACCACCAAATTAGATATCAACCTGCCAAAAAGTGACATTAATAGACATTAACTATATCATTTTTAGTTCTTGAATAAACTTACAGAAAAATATAATAAAAGAGGCTATGATTATAACTAGAAGCAACTTTCAAGTCAACAAATCATTATAAATAACAAAATCCCATAATTAATTTTTCAAAAATCTTTTGACTTTTTTCTTTTAATAGATGATGAGTCAGCTGACTTAGACAATATACTCAAGAAAACCATGCCATGACATTCAAAATTTATAAAAGCTCATGACATTTATATTATATTTTTGAAAAAAAATGGTTTACCAAGGGAAGAGTGTGAGTGAGTTTAGTGGCAGGTCGCAAGATTCCAAGAGGGTCAACTGCTAAATCTTGATGCATTGGATCAACTTTTCCAAATGCAAGAAGTGCATGAGGGGCACTGAAATTCAGTTTATAATAAATAATTCAATAAAGATTATGTAACATAATAAAGCTTTTACTTTTATATAAGTTATGGCATAAAAATACACAACGTACCTTCCTGGAACTGAATTGAAGTCACCACACACTAACATTGGAATATCTGCACTTGCAACTGTCTTTTCCAATCCTTTTAACAGTGTGTGAACCTTCAATTTTCACAATTATATAGTTTTTAAGTTTTTAAACAAGAAGAAAAAGTGTATATATACAAACAACAGGAGATACTTATCTTATTTGATGTCATTTCTCTTCGACAAAATCTACACTAAAAGAAATGTGCCCATGTAAGTTAATATCAAAATTCCTATGAGGGCAAAATGGTCATAATAATTCAGAACAATCCTGAGATACTTATCTTCTTTGATGTCACAGGAGATACTTATCTTCTATTTCTTTCCTTATTTGGTGCTTTGTTTACCATTGTCTCCAACCTCACCTGTTTCTTTTCTTTCCCATTACTGGATAGATAAACTTTCACAAATCTCTATATACAAGATGTAAAAAAGTCAAATTAGACAAACCTTGAGAGTAATTCAAAAATTATGAAGCAAGAATCAGTTACAACTAAAAAACGTAAAATTGAAGAGTAGAAGTGTAGAAATAGAATAGAAATTGATGATGAAATTGAAGAGTAGAAGTGTACACCTTGATTTCAGATTAAGTTTCCCTTAGAGAGCTGCAACTATGACCATGTGGATCCTTATATATCAGCAAAACCCTTCTGTCTTCTCTCTTTAGATCGTATAACTCCAGATCTGGGGTCCAGTAAACCATAAATTAGACTATATCACTCGCAGATAAACCATTGGACCAGATGGCTACTACCACCCTGCACCACGTGACTGATTAGTGAGAGACGAAATGGGAGGATTCAGAAATAAAAAATCGGCCGATAAAGACTTAGAGCTATGTACTCGACTGATAAGTGTGAAATTATGTATACGTGAAGACACAGCTGATGGGTGGAGAAGGTGGCAAGTCAGAAATTAGGGCTTTTGGAGAGACATTTTTAATCACATCCTGGGAGTCGTCTACAGAGTTAGAATTATGTTTCGCCCCATTGAGAAGGAAGTGCATATCTAAGGGCTGACCCGCCAAGCGCTGCCATCTTCCTTCCCTGAAGCCATCATCGTGGCGTCTTCCTTCTTTGGAGCCACGGTCGCCGCCCTTTTCCTTCCCTTAAGCCACCATCTGGAACCTTTGAGAGAGAGCAATGTAGAACTGGAGATAGATTTGTGAAAAAAAGCCATAGTCTCGATTTTGTGTTGAGGGGAAAAGAATACTCCTAGGTCAAATGAAGGGAAACAAAGACGGCGGGTTTTCTAATTTTTTTGGATTTCCTTTTCCCGCTGCTAGCTGGTTGCTAAAGAGGAGCCACGCGTTTGTAAATTATAAATCGACATTTATAGATGACGCACGTTTAAAATAAGCACCCTCCGTGTTTTTATTTTTATTTTTTGTGAGACACTAAATTTAGGGCACACAAAAATGTGTGACCCAAATCCTTTAAATTTAGGGAGAGCTGACATTATTTTTAGGAGACACGCTTTTGCATATCGTAAATTTGTGCGTGTCATGGTTTACGCGTCATTAAAGGGCTATTTTCTAGTAGTGTTGGAATTTTTTCTCATGATCACGTGAAGTACGAGCCTGTCTTTCAGATCTTGAGACGAATCATGAGAAGGTATATTCAAGAAGTTTTTGAGGTGGATGTTGAGGTTGGAAAAGTGATAAATAGGAATCCAATTCAGAAAGAACCTTGGGGAGTTGTTTACAAAACCTTAAAAAAGGAGATATGTGAAACTGCATGATGTTTTTTAGAGATAAGCATATGCACCCAACTGCTACACTTTCGCATGTTCTTTCATGAGCTCAAATTGGCATGGAAAACAATGCAAATGATGTGAAATGCATTTCTACATGTTGCGTTATTGGATAATGGCTCGAATGATCTTGGTTAGGACAATCCTAAATGTGTTTGATGAGAATAAATGAAGACAATATCGCATCTTGACACAAAGGGGGAGATTGTTAGGTTTCGGAATAAATGTGTTACGTCAAGTTTTGTATGTCAACATGTTTTCGTATGTTTGGTCCTTTTATGTAATAAATTTTTCTTTCATTAGCCAATCTGTTAGGCCTCATTATTTAGCTTATGTTCGTAGTCCTAGACTGTTGGCATAAGTATTCCTTTCTAAATTCCTTTATGCCTATCTAAATGAATGTCTGTTAGTAGAGAGTGGTCTTTTTGAGAGAATAGTTCCATGTGTGTTGTAGCGAGCTGTCCTCAAAATGCTCTCTAAAGAAACAATAATCTTATTTACCTTTCTGTGCTTATAATATTTCTACAATTTGAATCATGTCTTCATTATCAAAATAGAATCTATATCGTTCCTTAAAATCCTACATAATGAGATTCGACTCAAGTAACAATTAAGAATCGCGATCAACATATACCTTTCTTTCACTATATTGTTCTTTTGACGAGTCGGTAAACCACACATGCTTACATCAAAAAAATATACCACAAAGCGTAATGTCCTTGGGAAGCGTAAGACTCACATTATTATAAAATGGGATTTTGTTTTATTACTTATTAAGTTAATACTTTTAACTTTTGTACAATTGTCCTAGAAAACCATTTCTGTAACTCCACTTCAAACACAAGAAGGAGGTGAGAGAGGCGAGCAATGAATGTCACTTAAAATCCGACCTCATTAAGAAGCAAAGAGAGCTACCTTAAACCTTCCTTATAGAAATAAATTGGATGGGCCTAGTCGATGTAAGACTGACAATGCACATTTTAAAGAAACATGAGAGGACACAATGTTTGTAGTTGTTGTGATACATATAAATACGATTTTACAATATATACATACACATTTCAGTTTATATGTGTTTTAAATTTATTGACTAAAAGTCAACAATTAAGTTATTTAAGAGTGTCCCAATCTTGTGTCTTTTAATTACTCTTAGAATTAAATCAGTTTGACTTTATGTTTTAGTATAAAGGCTAGTTTTTATATATTTAAAATCGAATGGAATGAGCAACGAAAAATAAGGAACGCATTTAGAAAAATCAGGAACTTCGGTTTCCATGACGTGGGGAAGCAACTGCCACATTGTGGCATACAGAAAACACACGGTTTATTAAATTGTTATTTTAATTCTTAGCAGCATACCATGACGTGGATAAGGAGAGGCCATGATATGGTGTCAAAAGAAGTCGCGATCCAATTTCAGCATCGACCGAGCCTACAACATGGTGAAGGACCAGCCACGACGTGGCGAAGAGGCAGAACGACCAAAAAGTCATTTTCTAAGCATAAACAAATTCAATTTTAACCATGCGAACATTCTAGACATTTAAAACGACTTAAAATAGAAACCCTATACATACAAACCCTAACCTACTTGTCAAGACAAAGTCTAAGTGCAATAGACTTGAGTTCAACTACGCTCTAATACCACTGATAGGTTTCGCGCCTATCCAAGATTAACCATTGGACAGCGGAAACAACAAACAATTCCTATCAAAGACTCAAAACACCTAGATGTAACTCAACTATCCATGTATCTTATAAGACATAATAGAATAGAATCATACCTTTGCTTTTGTGACATCCCCATTTTCACGGCCAGAAAAGACCGATTTTGTTTATGCTTTATAAAAATCAGAGTATCTCTTTTAATAAAAATGTTGCGGAATTTTTTCCCATAAAACATGATAAATTCGTTATCAAATCATTTCGGAAGAAATGTATTTTTATCCATTTTAAAACATTTGGGATGTCATCGTCAATACAGAAACATAAGCATAAACAGATCTTACATTCATTTACACTAGTGATCTACATCTCTTTTAAATCCCTCAGTGTAAAGTAGCTTCATATCGACACATGTGATACAAATAATCTTGAGTGGGTCAGGTTGGGAAACCTGGTGAGTACATAGGGTTTTCAACCCACAATAATATAATTATTATGTTAAACATCAAACAATCAACCCAATTACCCATCCCCATTATCTTCTTTACTATTAAGGATCTACCCTAAGAATTAGCTATTCCTCATTCATTCATTCCTAAGGATTATCCTAAGGAATTGACACGAAATCCATCGTTGTCAGGGTTTACTCAACAGGCACTAAGTCTCATAGTCGCCAGGGTTTATACAATAGGGTACATCTGGTGAACACGCAGTTCAAAACATCTGGTGAACACTTAGTTCAAAACATATCGTGAACACTTAGTTCAAAAATACCTAGTGAATACGTAGTTCAAAAACACCTACAAGTTACGAGCCTGCTAGTGTTCCACTGGACTGTCTAGAATAGTCTGTGGTCGTCATCTATACTCCGCTAGATGGCTAGATCATCTTAAACAGTGAGGCCTATCATCATTTTATCACACATCAACTATTTCATCTACCCATGTTTTACCCAACATTTTCGTAGATATAAAATACATATACATTTTAAATCATTTAAAACATGTATAAATCGTTCATCCCTCATAGATATCAAGAACACAAATAATATGCACACATAGCACGTAATTTATATTAAATACTTAATATCTATGTGTAAGATGAAAGTAACTATGCACTCACTTGATAAGGTGGTGACTCGTTACTCGTACAGCACTTCGTTATCTCAAAACAATTTCCCTCGGACAAAACAGCGGGTTTTTATTAAAAATTGGGCTTTGTTGGAGCAACGTTTCCAAGCCGAAAGCTTTTCTTCTCGGAGCCTTCGGGCACTCCGGGGCTTCCCTCTCGTGCTAGGGAGGTTCCCTAGACTTTGGAGGGGTTTAGGGAGGCTAGAGAGTAGTTACAGAGAAAAAGAAAGGCTTATGGTGTGAAGAAAATATGAAGAGTTCATCTCTTATTTATAGGGGTTTTATCGTAGAGTAGCCCCTAAGTTTCGTCCGTATCTTCCGCGTACGAGCTCCGTTTTCTACGTTCTATATATCCACGAGTTGGTATTTACGAGTACTAAAACTTTCATTTAGAGCCCGTCGGCTAATTCTCATTCTATCTTAGATTTACAAAACTGAATCCAATTTATCGCGCTCGAAAAGTAGAGACTAAGCTTCGTCCATATCTTTCGCATACGAGATCCGTTTTTGATGTTCTTTATATCCACGTGTAGGTAAAAGAAAGATTTACAACTTTCATTTTGACTCCGTTGGCTAATTCTCTACCGATCTTAAATTTAACAGTAGGATGTGATTACCTTGTTAAATGTCCGCGTAAAATTCATAACTTTTACATACGGACTCCGTTTTCGTCTGTATTTTTGTCGTTGAGTTCCTATTAATGAGATATTCAATTCTCATTTAGGTCGCATTGTACAAAAACCGCTCGATCTAAAATTCGAGTTTCGGGTCGTGCACTACTATGCCAAATCTTAGAAAAATCATAACTTCCTCATTCGAAGTCAGATTTGGGAGTTCTTTTTTATGTACGCTCTCGGTTTGACCTATAATATGAGTTTTGTTTAGATTGCTAAGGCTAAAAAGTCTTCTATCGTAAATTCACTATTTACATCGCGCTGTGTCGTGCCGGTTTTGCTGTAAAACTTCGACGGGCCAAAACTTATGCGTTATAACTCGGATTTCCGCGTTAGTTATATGTACGGAACCCTTGTGACATATACTATAACTTGCTTAAGATTACTCCTTATAAATAATCTTCCACCAAAAAGTCATTTTTGACGCTCATTGTGTCTAAATTGACTAGCCCGAATCTGCGGGCGTTAGAACTTTCTTCATAGGTTTCTTCTTTTAACGATCCAATTGAGTGGAATACAGAGCCGATCGTAGAGTTCCTCTTCTGAAATCACACCCAACAAACAAGACACAAGCAAATCTAAGCAACCCTCGAACTATGAGCTTCAAACAAAATCAAAATCTCAATCCTATGGTTGACCACGATGTGGTAAATGATTTGCCACGACGTGGGAACTACACTTTGGGATTCTTTAGAGTTTTTCACGATTTCGAACTTTTGAGACTAAGCGGTATTTTACACAAGTATCAAAATCATATTTGGAGCCCTCTATTTACAAGGAGGTGATTTGAAACCCTAGAGATAACTACCAAATATAATAGTAATTATCCATGGTATTCAAATTATTCTAGAATATTCCATATTACTTTATTTGCTATTAATTAAATAACAGAATAAGTCCCTCAAATAAACATTTTTTAGTTATGGTTTATTTTATTCTTGAGTGTAAACTAAAAGGA